TTATACCTATTTAGATTAATTACTTTTTTACAAAGATGAATTTAATTTACTAAACTGTTATCGAATTTAATGTATAAATTTAATTTCTACATATATTAATTACGGTAAATAGTATTAATTTAATTTAATTCAAATATATACCGCCGTTTCTTTTTATTTTTTGCATGGTTTCTTGTAGTAATTTTTTTGTGCGTGATAGGCTTGCTTCTAATAGACATATAGACTCAATCTCGCCTCCGAGAGATAAACGTCCTTTTCGCTGTGCGTTTGTGCTTGGAGAAAACCTTTGAAAACTCTATTTTTCTGTGAGTGCCGCTGTGTGGTCATATCTTTGGTCATCCTGTGCTCCCTGGCGGTGTCGCAGACTGAAGGCCCTCTGAAGACGGGACTAACTGAAACCAATGGTAAGTCGCAAGCCACGTTTTGAACCAATGCAACTTTGCGTGCTCTATTCCATTTAGCTGGAGCTGAGGAGAAGTCATTTATTGCACTTTTTTAAATAATAGCAAATTATTTAATTATTAGGAAGTTAACTATGTCGACAATCTTTAAATACTGATTTTTCGATTTAATTAAAACTTAGCACATCGTAATAGATATTATGTACAGACTAGATTTTGTGGGACGCCATTGATTTTTCCAATTTAATAAGATCAGCGGTTAAAACAAATTGAAACAATACGTTTGATACAACGAACACAGGTAATTGATAGTTGAAGCTTTGAAGAATATTTAAGGCGTTCTTACAAAAACCTCATTTGCTGCTCACTTATGTAAAACTTAAAAACTTTCAAATCTTCCTAAGTAAAAATATTTCATCTCATTATCATTATCATGAAAGATGAAATTGAGTTCGAAATTTTTTTGTTATGGTGTCTGGTATTATAATGCATATTAGGATGACTGATGGGATTTTATTGGAATTATTTCACGTAAAGGTTGTAGACAACATAATTTATTTATATGTAACAATACAAAATTTGATCTAAAACATTATTGGTTTTTCTAAAGAACGCATTGACCTATCTACGAATATTAGGATTCGACCAGTAATAATTATACAAGGTGTTTTTAAAAGGAAGTAGCAAAAATGGTACCAGTGAATGTAGAGCCAAATATAAGAGGATTGAAGTAAAAATACCTTATATGAAAGTTGCACCCCTGAGGCGATATACCCTCTTGAAGGAGGGGATTCAAATTTACATTTTAATATTTTTCTTTAACATGAGGAATGCTAGAGACACGAAACTTGGTATGAGCATCCTACTAATAAAGAGTCAACTTTTCTATATTTTTTCGATCATTGGCGTATTTTATAAAGGAGTGAAACAGTCAACACCATTTTATTAGAAATTTTTTATGTGAGCCAAATTATTTATTTAAAAATATCTATTGGAAAAACTGATTTATTGCGCAACTTTTTTACCTCTTGTAATTTTTCGATGAAACCAATAGTTTTCTAGTAAAAAAATTAGATGCATCATCGTTCACTAAAGGGGTAATTGCGAAAATTTGTAAAAATAAAGTATGCGAATGTCATAACAAATAAGTTGTTATTTATCATATTAATAAATTGACACTTTCCGTCAATAAGCTGGTAATTTAATAATAACATTAAGAATAATTTGCTATTAGTTAATGAAAAATGTTTGATAACTTATGACTATGGGACATGTATTAGGTAAAGTGATTTATCTGAAATAAAATTTAATATAAACGAAAAAGAAGAAATGCAAAATTAAATTTAAATTCTCCATTTTGCTGCAAGCATAACCTAATACGTCTGTTGAAGTTATAACGCACTCGGAGAAACAGTTCTTGGTTATTGCGAAGGTCATCTGCTGCCTGAAATATTCTTAAGTGTAGTTCTTCTAAGGAGACAAGAGGAGTGGCATAAACAATACTTTTTATTTGTCCCCACAAAAAGAAATCCATAGGCGTTAGGTCAGGTGAACGTGCAGGCCAACAAACAGGGGCATCACGACCACGACCAATCCAGCGATTCGGGTAATGTAAAGTTAACCATTTTCTAACGGCAAGTGTACTATGTGCAGGTGCCCCATCGTGCATATAGCACATCACCTGAGGTGTAGCGAGGGGTACATCCTCAAGTAATGTTGAAAGATTTTCTTTCAAAAAACTAAGATACTGGACCGCTCCAAGCCCATATGGAGAATAAAAGGGCCTACTAGAGTATTTCTTACAATTCCCATTCAAACGTTTAAACTGAAATTATGTTGACATCTTGAAATAAATATTTCATGAGTATTTTCTTCCGACCATGAATGAACATTATGTAGGTTTACTGCACCTACTCTAGGAAAATTTGCTTCATCGGTGAAAAGTATATTCATTAGGAAATTTAAGTCATGCCTGGAAATATTTTACCAGTTTTGCGTAGCCTTCTTTCCACCGAGGCCAATGTTTGTCTATGAGGAATCGGTCGGTTTGGTATAATCTTACTGCAGCGTTACTATTTTTTCTGGATTCGAAAAACACTTGGAGCATGTCGACATATTCGTCATTGGTATAAATATTATTTGCCATAATTATTCTGATATTCAATTGGTACTAATTATTGGTTGACAGAAAATGTCAATTTATAATATGATAAATAACAATTTATTTGTTATGACATCCGCCTACTTTATTTTTACAAATTTTCGTAATTACCCCTTTAGTGGACGATGACGCATATCATTTTTTTACTAGAAAGTTTTCTATAGTTATCGGTTTTATCGAAAAGACGTAAAAAAGTTGCGCAATAGATCAGTCTTCCCAAAAAATATATTTAAATAAATAATTTGGTTCAAAAATTTCTAATAAAATATTGCAATGGGGTTGACTGTTTCACTCCTTTATAAAATACGCCAATAATCGAAAACATATTGAAAAGTTGTTTGTTTATTGGTAGGATGCTCATACCAAGTTTCGTGTCTCTAGTATTCTTCATGTTAAAGAAAAAAATTAAAATGTAAATTTGAACACCCTGTATAACTTGTTTCGGAAATTGTCGATTGTTGGCTTTTTAATTCGCTTTTCTGAATCTAAAAAACACTTTTATAAATAGTTAATTGGAAGGAAAAAACATTTCATAAATCGTTTCAATAATATGACTATTATTGTTTAAAATTTATGGAAAATATGATACGACTCAAATTAATCAACTGCCATTCTTTTCTTTCTGTTCGCAAATTGTAAACTGAGGTACTCATTACAGCGGAGTAAACTTATTCCAGGCATGGAGGCAATGCCTCTTCAAATCGTATCCTGTTCTGAAGCTCCTATTATGCAAAAATTATTAGCTTTGTTCGGGTTCTCCATTTCTGAATAGTTCAGAATCTGCGCAAAACTATAAACGCAATAGACAAAATTCTAGACAATTAAGAACTATGACATATACAGCGAATTGTTGTTTTTAGTAGGGTACTAATAAGTTCAAAATATAATCATTTTAATCTATTTGCTGTTTGCTCTTTGCATCTTTGTTTTTTACCTCAAAATTATCATTTTTTAGGTATAATATGGTGTAATGTGCCAATATATTGAACTTGTCGGCTACATCTCGGAAGGATGCAGCTTCATGTTCTGCATAGCTCAAAAAAAAACTAAAATAATTTTCTCTGGTGGAAATAGAATCCATTTACATTCTGTTTGAATTTTGGGGATATAACAATGATTATTTGTATGTATTTGACAGGAATGTGTGAATAATTCTATTCACCAAAACAGTAAATAAATAAATTTATTCATCTAGAGAGAACAAAAAAGATATCTGTCATACCTAAAGCGTTCTCTAAATTCTTTTTCTGTAAATAGATTAGCCGTATGTTCAAAAAAAGGAATCCTTTTTGATATGACTACTTTGCAATTCTGAAAAAATAATCCTCAAAATTCCATCGATTTCATGAGAACTGGCACTATAAAATATTTTTTAAAAGAAAAACTAGAAATTAAAAAGTTACAAAAATTACAGGAAATAATCAAGACAATATTCGTAAACAATAACTAGGTATGCTTGCGCTAAATAAATACAGTTTTAGTAATTCATGCTTGCGAGTAAGAACTTCTTCGAATGGTATGCAACGGTTTGGAATCAGGTGACATGCAACCCGAACAAATGTCTTTATTGGTATTTTCAAGTATCGATACTGACGGAGCAACTGAATCAGATACATCCACTACTTTCAAAGATAATCTGAAAGAAACATCAAAATTTCAAATTACGCAACATATGCTTTTAGCATAATTGTTTCGACTTCTATTTGAAAAATAAAAATGAAGACTTGTTTGGACGATATCCGATCGATTTACTTTTCAACTATAGGGATCAGTTTTAAAAATCCTTTTATATTAATACTTCCTTTAGCATTCAATGTACCTATTTTTTAACTTAATCCTATAATATAGATTTCACTTTCACGACCTTGTATTTAAAATAAGCCAGTAACACACCATCAAATGTTTTCTTAACTTTGTTGTCAGTCAGTTTTTGACGTCATTATGCTGTTCATATTGTCTTACAAAATTTTGAGGAATTAATTACTACACTGGACATTTTGCGGCTTTCGATAGGTACCTACTTCAAGAAACAAATATTCTTCATCACTTGTAAAATTTGTCATTTAAGGAATATAAAGAAAAAATTCTTATGGTCTTGCACACTATGATGCCTTGTAAATACATATTTGGAAAACAAAGCAACCCTTGAGTCGTGTTTATGAGCGCATCAATTTCGATCTAAAATCATCCAAAGATGCAGTCCTTCAAGTTTGTCTAAATACTTAATGAATAAATACCCTGTATGTCTTCTTCAAGATCCAAAAAAAAATACTCAAGTTATAAAAAATAAACAATTATAATTTTTACTGGAATTCGGGTCACAAGACGACCCTAGCCGGAGATCTCCGAGCAGGTCTTTCGGAAATTCAAACTACGAGACGATCGAGTGTGCGGCACGAACACGCAACTTGTTTTCCAGTTCCAGTCCAGTCGCTCTGTGTTCGCGTTGTGAGGAGTTTATTCAACTTTGTCGTTGCTCACCCACCGCCTTTCGTAAACTTTACAAACTTACAAAGTTTTATTTTCGAGACAGGAGCATCTTCAAGTGACTGTTGGCCGATTTCTTGTGGTTTTGAGTGACTCGGGCCGCCATGGGCCGGTTACACTTGTGTTTTGTTTTCCTTGCGACAATTACAGGTGAGTCAACCTTTGTTGTTAATCAACTACCTGGAGTACGTATGTCGACTTAACCTAACTTTTGATCGTTTTTACCGTACGTGCACACAATGCTTTCAAAGGCTTTGTTTCTTTTGAGAGTTAACAGGTGTTTTATGTTTATAGTCCTTTCTAAATACCTAATACGAATACCTATTATTTAAATTAGAAATACGCAATTGTGATAATAAAATAGATATTTTTTAGACCTACATATTTACACAAAATAAGTAGACTACCTACTTATAATCTCTTAATTTATAGCTAAACATTTTACCTTACAATCTATAGGTACCTATATAAGTACCCAGGTTTTTAT